GTGCATAAGCGCACCAGCGTGCCTACCATCCCTGTCCTACTGTCCCCATTTATCTGTATTCATTTCCTTCAATCATATCCATGTTCATTTTTATATCTGCTATCTTGTACATGTTTGACAAACAAACAAACAAACAAACAAATAAATATGTTTAATTCATTTTAGATCATGTGCAAGTAGGAAAGCTGATAAAATTATTTATTTATTTGTTTGTTTGTTTGTTTGTTGTTTGTTTAACAAATTTGTACACCACACAACTCATACACAGTGACTCCTTGTCAGATGTCCCTTTTCCTGAAAAACACAGGTCTTTCTTAAACTTTTAAGTTTACTGTAAAAGCAAAACATGAAGCAAGGATTTGTGAATGCTACTTCTGCAGAATATTTGTTAAATACTCAATATTGGTTTGAAATACAAATTGGTTTTTAAATGGCCCGTTTGTTGGAACATTGGTAACATAAAATAAAAGCATCATGACTGATGGATCAATCGATGATTGATTGATTGATTGACTGATTGATTTATATATTTCCTAAATTAAGGAATCTGGTCCATCAGGTTACATCTACAAAGCTGGGCAGTAGCCATGATAGTAATCATTTCTTTATTACAGTCATTTGATTGCCACAAAAGTGAATACATTTAAGTCATTTAGATAACCAGAGACGTAAGGTTCAGTTTTTGGGTATGGCTCCCACTGACCTATCATTGCTTAGTTAACATATTACTAGTCTTGCTTATCAGATCATTTGCAACAAAGATGTTGATAAAATAATAAAAATAATGGTCATGAAAAATTTGAACATCCCAGGGGGGTATTTATCTATTAGCAGATATAAAGCTACAGAATGAGTCTTCCCTGATTTATTCTTAATAACATAAAAAGTATTGAAATCTACTAGTGTAGAAAGAAGAAAATCCAATGAGATGCATTCTCCTCCCTCTATCGTTCTGATATCTCAAAGGCAAATATGCCCATAATTTTCAAATGTTTGCCAGTATAAACAACTACTATTTTTCACATTTCTTATATTAAACAAGTTTGTAGTTAAGCCATGGTAAGTCTCATGCCATCTTTAAGGAGAGGCATTCAAAAATATTACTCAAATATCAAAATACCACACATTCATTCTGATAATCTTTTTGGCCTTTAAATCTAAACACACAAAATATTCTAAGACATAACTAAAGAAACAGAATTTCTCCAAAGGAGCTTTCACCAAGTCGTATTTAAGGATACCTTCTAAAACAAGAATGAAATGAATAAATCTTGCTAGGGGAGCTGTCCTTGCAGGTTATGTCTAACCCTTAAAAGCATTCCTTTCATTGAGATTTTGTATTATTAGAAGTAAATCTCTATCAGCAAAGAATGTCCCTAGTCCACAACCTATCTCAAAATCTAATTTAAACTTGAGATATGTACTTTTGGAAGTTGAAGTGTTCTTTGTCTACTTGTGTGTTTCTGTGAGCATGAATCTGACCTGAATGGTATTCAATGAAACAGGCTTTATAATGATAAAAGAAAGGAGACAAACTTAAAATTAAAGTATTGGCATTAGCAAACCCTAGCTTCTAGCTAATTACAACCTACTAGGACAGTGATGGCTAACCTTTTCCAGACCGAGTGCCTCCCACATGCACCCTGCTCCCTGTGCATGTGCATGTGCCCCCCCCACACGCGTTCCTGTGCATGCGTGCGTGGGCCCCCTACATGCTCCCAGCCCTCCTCATGCGCGCAGAGACCTGAAGACCAGCTGCCCGGGGGCAGGTGCGCGCATGTGCACAGTGGAGCTGAGCTGGGGCGACAGCTCGCATGCCCAAAGAGAGGGCACTGCGTGCCCCCTCTGGCACGTGTGCCATAGGTTCCCCATCACGGTACTAGGAGAAGACTCCAAGAACATATTCCAACTTCAGTCCTTTTCTTATCCGTTCATAAAAAGTAGCTCACTATTTGCTATTTGGTTTTAAGAAGTTACTCTCCCTGGCCAGACTGATAATAGTTCTAATGGCTTCTCTGTCTCTTTTTCTTTCTTCTGTACATACATTGACTTTGTGCCTTTGGCCTGTATACAACCTGCACATCCAGACTGATTCACCCTTGGCAGCAACTTCAGTCCCTTGGCAAAACCTTCTAGTTTTGGAACAGCTTCTGGGTCACTGTGCCCTATTTGTCAGTGCCATTTGGTTGTTCTGTTTTTGTGATTACAATTCTCTGATGCCCTGGCTTTATCGTCTGCACAGCCCAATCCAAATGGTCCGTTTTTCTGGAGGGTGTCTTCTCCATATTACATTACATAACAACGGCTGCCATTAAATCTTATTTCTCATAATTTCACTGTGATATAGTTTATTGAAAACAGATTTAACTCCATATATAAGACCGTATAAAACATGTTAAACGTTCCAATGAGTGCCTTTCCTTTGCCTAATACACAGTTGAATCTTACAGGGCTTCTCCTGGCTAAAGTGATTTTGTCCTTTTGCAAAGTAATAGTGGGTTTATGCTGATTCAGTTTAGCAGATTCTCTTTTTCATTAATGAATTTAGGTGATGTGGCAGAATTAGTGGCATCTATATTTTAGATTAGTTACAGATGCCTTTATGCAGATGCCATATAAAGGCTTCTGTAACTAGAATAGAATAACAGAGTTGGAAGGGATCTTGGAGGTCTTCTAGTCCAACCCCCTGCTTAGGCAGGAAACCATACACCACTTCAGACAAATGGTTGTCCAATCTCTTTTTAAAAACTTCCAGTGTTGGAGCATTCACAACTTCTGGAGGCAAGTTGTTCCACTGATTAATTGTTCTGTCAGGAAATTTCTCCTTGGTTCTAAGTTGCTTCTCTCCTTGATTAGTTTCCACCCATCGCTTCTTGTCCTACCCTCAGGTGCTTTGGAGAATAGCTTGACTCCCTCTTCTTTGTGGCAGCCCCTGAGATATTGGAACACTGCTATCATGCCACCCCTGGTCCTTCTTTTCATCAAACAAAACATATCCAGTTCCTGCAACCGTTCTTCATATGTTTTAGCCTCCAGTCCCCTAATCATCTTTGTTGCTCTTCTCTGCACTCTTTCTAGAGTCTGCACATCTTTTTTACATCCTGGAGACCAAAACTGAATGCAGTATTCCAAGTGTGGTCTTACCAAGGCATTAGTGGTATTAACACTTCACATTAGTGGTGGGTTGCTACCGGTTCACACCGGATCGGGTGAACCAGTAGCGGCGGCGGCCGGAGGCTCTGCCCACCCACCCAGAAGCTTCTGCACATGCACAGAAGTGCCATGCGCACGAGCACACACACAACTGAACCAGTAGTGATGGGATTTGGAACCTGTCCCTGCTTCACGTGATCTTGATTCTATCCCTCTGTTTATGCAGCCTAGGACTGTGTTGGCTTTTTTGGCAGCTGCTGCACACTGCTGGCTCATATTTAAATGGTTGTCCACTAGGACTTCCAGATCCTTCTCATAGTTACTACTAATTAAAATGGATACTATATAGCATCCCACTTAGTCTTTCTTTTAGGGTCTTTTCTTATACAGGTAGTCCCCGACCTACAACAGTTTGTTTATTGACCATTCAAAGTTTCAACATTACTGAAAAAAGTGACTTATGACCATTTTTTACAGTTATGACTGTTGCAGCCTCCCCATGGTCATGTGATCAAAATGTGGATGCTTGACAACTGGTTCCTATTTATGACGGTTGCAATGTCCCGGAATCATATGATCCCCTTTTGCAACCTTCTGGCAAGCAAAGTCAATGGGGAAGCCAGATTCACTTAACAACCATTGTTAAGGAACCCTTGAGTAGCAAGGGTGTATACATGAAAGCGACTGAGAGTAGTTACGAAGAAACACAGTCAACACACAAGTACACTGAGTTGTGTTTACTTTCAGGAAATAGTAAGGCATAGTCCAATAAACAGTCCAGGTCATACACATATAAAGCAGGAGATAGCAAAACGACAGTCCAGGGATAATCCAATAATGAAGTCTTCTTACCAGTCATCATAGTCATTCACAATAAACAGTTCTTCTGGAGTTGTAAACAGCGATATCAGAGAGCAAGAACAGCAAAGAGAACAAACCATGTTTCTAGCTCCCTCTTAAGGACATTGGCTACAGAGCTAACCAATCAGGACACAGTATGATGCAATACAGCAGTCTTAAAGCTACATTGATGGTTTATATATTGCTAACCCAACAAGTTAAGTAATAGTCATTTACTAACAACCATGTTGCTAATTTAATAACTTCAGAGATTCACTTAAGAAATGTGGCAAGGAAAATCGTAAAAGGGGGCAAAACTCATTTAACAAATTTCTCACTTAACAACATAAATGTTGGGCTCAATTGTGATCATAGGTTGAGCACTACCTGTCCTGGGGTAAGCAGAATCCTTACCTATAGAATGTAGGTATGGGCTCCTCTAGTCTAACCAGTTTGTCTAGTCTCCCTTTCCTTTGACAATTGGTTATAAATGATGCAAGCCACTGAAAATGAAGTATTTTCTCCTATTTTTTTTACCTTACAGAGATTGTTGACACAGAACTGCAGCTTTCTCTTAAAGATTACACATATTATAGTCTTGCAAGTGTTTTATCATGAAATCAATTTCTGCAAGCATGGAGTGCCATAGCACTCTTCTACTTCTCTTCTTGAACAGCTGGCCAAGGATTGCTGCCAGTGCTTCAGTAAATACCGATCAAGTTAATAACTACAGATAGGCCTATCCTGCACTATGGAATGTCTCCATCCTCCTTATCATCTAAATCGGTAACTATTCTGCCTACTGCTCCCCCCCAAAAGAAAATAATTAAATATGCATTGTGTAAGGATGTACTTTTTCTACCATCCTTAATTCCAGTAGATGCTTCCAAAGTCCTAATATGGTATGAGACATTACGTGACTTCATTCTAAATGAAAAAGCAAAAGCAATCGTGTTTACACACATAAGAACTTATTTAGCCAGATAATAATTCGTGGCTTTCTATACCTTTTCCAGCTGTATAATATCTTCTTTCTTTTTTTTTTTCAAATGTAGGGATCAAAATGTAGACAGCAATTCAAGTACAGTCATCCATGAACGTAGATGGCAACATGATTCCATAGATCATTTTATTTCAGTCCTTCTGAATGATTTAAATAACAGCAGCATTGCCTTTCCTGATGATTCAAGCAAGGAATTCCACGGGGAAAACATATTTGGCTTGGAGAATGGTTTGAGCAAAGTACCCCTTTGAAGCTGCTTCATGAGGCGATCCCTTCATCCACCCTTGCTTCAGCTGTAGCCCTTCTTCCAGAAAGCTACTGGCCCTGCTGGATGTAGCTCCAAGGCAAGGCAAAGCAACTGGCTGAGATGAATCACGTCAAGGCCATTGCACAAAATGCCTCGAGGCAAAGTCAAACTGTTTCACACAAGCCGAATTTCAGGCATGGCATTTGAGTTGACATTTTCACTGAGCTATCATTTTCCACCATAACTCTAAGATCTCTTTCCTGATTGCTCGCTCAGTACTAATGCTAATGAAAGGCGTATAGAATCAGCATTTTACAGTTAGCTTTTGCAGGATCCTGCCCTTCATTTGGGCCATGGGCTATATATTAACTGAAGCGTAATCCCTCTGCATAGCTCTGCCCATTGCTCAAAAGGTTATTTTTGTTAACAGGACATCAGGGTTTTCTCAGTTCTTAAAATGATGTTTCCTTTTAAGTTTGCATTCTTTCCATGCTCCAAATAGTGCTTTAACTACATCCATTATCCTCTTATGCAATGTTCTCTCTATCCCTTTTACCCTTGGACTGACTGCTGTGGTCTGAGCTGAATGTTTTTGGAGACTGTTCATTTTCCTGTTTCCTTTCAGGTCTGCCAACCTTGCACTGATTTTTATAGATCTCGTGTATGTGTAGGGTTTTTTTGCCTAGACTACAGATATTTTAAATGTATCTTTCAAAAACCAAAATGAAGCAACTCATTACTCCTAGGTTTTAGCATGGAAAGTTCTGTTCTATTTCCCATGCCTGCTCAACGTCTTGAGTGCTTAACCTAAATTTCCACATACTCCACAGAACAGGGGTGGAGGGCAATCAGATGGCTGGAGCTCTTCTTCCTTGGGCGGCAGAAAGCAGCCGTAGGAGAAACCTCATTACCCCAACTCTACAAAGAAATTAATGGCTGTTGTCAGCCCTTTGATATAGACCAGGTCAGGAAACAGTCTTCTTTATTGACATAATGTATAATAACAGAATCTTGAAAGCCTGAGAGTTTCTCTTTCCCTGTCTCACACATCAAGGCCAGGGGTCAGCAACCCACTGCTCTGGAGCTGCATGTGGCTCTTTCATCCCTCTGCTGTGGCTCCCTGTCAGCGGTTGGCTCCACAATTGATAGGGCTTTCTGTTAAGACAGGTAGAGGAAAAAGGATGCTGCTCTAGGAAGAGACTCTATGTTGGGGGAACCGGACTTCCGGTTGGCTCCAGAATTGAACAAGGGGCTTCCGGTTAGGACCTTTGTGGTTCTTTGACTGTTTAAGGTTGCCAACCCCTGATCAAGGCAGTTCAATCTTGGGTTTCTTCCTCATCCTTTCCTGTCTTTCTGAACCACGCTGATAGTTTTTAATGGCTTTGAAATCTTTTCTGCATGGCCATCTCTATACTCCTCAATACCCGGAAGCCTATGATTGTAGAAAAGAATGGCTTAAGAGAAGACACCATCTGGCACTGCCTAGTTCTTAAGGTCTCCATGGACTCCAAAAACCTCTTTCTCATATCAGCCTGACTTAAGAATTTTCTTTTCCATTTGAGCCAGTGAAAGAAAATGGAAATAAATTACTAGAAGTAGAAAAGAGAGATTAAACTGCACTCAATCTTCATACCTTGTTCATTGCAAGCTGGTGGACTTCCCACTACTCAAATCCCACACACACTCTTTGGATTGTTTTACATCATGGTGGGGGACAACTAAGGGGACTGGAGTCTAAAACATATGAAGAACGGTTGCAGGAACTGGGTATGTTTAGTTTAATGAAAAGAGGGACTAGGGGAGACATGATAGCAGTGTTCCAATATCTCAGGGGCTGCCACAAAAAATAGGGAATCAAGCTATTCTCCAAAGCACCTGAAGGCAGGACAAGAACCAATGGCTGGAAACTAATCAAGGAGAGAAGCAACTTAGAACCAAGGAGAAATTTCCTGACAGTTAGAACAATTAATCAGTGGAACAACTTGCCTCCAGAAGTTGTGAATGCTCCAACACTGGAAGTTTTTAAGAAGACATTGGATAACCATTTGTCTAAAGTGGTGTAGGGTTTCCTGCCTAAGCAGGGGGTTGGACTAGAAGACCTTTGAGGTCCCTTCCAACTCTGTTATTCTATTCTATTCTAATATTCTTTAAAGATACAGCCACATGAGGACTTTGCACCATTTCAGATGCTCATAACTGAATAGCAGAGGCTAAGATTTCTTTCCCACTCCTGTCTGAAGATACTTATTATGGAAACCAGCAAACTGTGTTTTTTCCTACTAAGTGGCAGCCCCTCATGTACATGTATTGCCTAGCAGGTTCCTTGCATGTAACTGGTCCGAGCTCCCTGTGCATGGTGATTCATTTCCTGGTACATGTTGTATTCAAGTGCAGCAAAAACACATGTAACCAAGGAGATCCATGGTGCCGCCGCCTATTTGTTGTGATAGCAAAACTAATATTGATCTATATCAAACTGGCCTGAAGGCATATTAAGTTGTGATTATACATCGAAGAGGTTGATAGAGCATAGCTGCTAAAGGATGCTGGAATTGAAAAGAGAGAGTTAGAGCCAGAACAGGATTATCTAATATTTAAAGTATGCCACAAAACAAGCCTAGTCAATTTGAAATGCTAGCTGGTTGTGTAACTGTGGAACTATCTGGAGAAAAAAAGTAGGCCATTTCCAAGCTGTTTGGTTTAGTTTGTATTATGTTTAGATGTTCCCTTATTTCTTAGGAATCACGGTAACAGAGCATTTCCTTCTTTTCTACCATCATTTACCATCTGAGTTGGTAAAAAGTAAGGAGAAACTAGTCAATATCTTCAATCATCATCCTAAGAACTTTATCAGCTACCTTCTGAAGGATGTGGGTCTTTTTTCATACAATATTAATATATGTGAGCTTTGACAATTGGTGGGAATCCTTTGATTTATAGCAGTAATATGTTTGTCCTGCCTACTTCAAGAGAGTGTGCAACACACACACACATATTCACATACAAATGCATACAAATTTAAGTATACACACAGCATTGCATCAATATACAGTAATGATTCCCAAATGTTAAGACAATGATCAAACACTGGAAGCAATGTAGAAGTAACTTAAGGTAGTTACAAATTAAGTTACTTAACTACTCTGTTTTGAAATACTAAGTATTTGAGACAATAACTCCAGAGGACCCACTACTAGACCTTTATGCTGTGACCTCCACAAACAACAAAACTCTAGGACAAAATTTACAAGCTAAGATCCCAAAGCTACACAAGCCCCTTTAAACATGGAGTACAACCCACAAAAATCTTCCAAAGATTGCATCAAAAAAACACCTTTGGGAATTACAATTAAAAATATAGAACATTAATTTATTTTTGATTATGTTTCATGTTCATTTTTGTTCTGCCTTTTCTTTCAGTCTGTAATGAAGAGGACTCCAGTCTGCTACCCAAAGGTCAACTTTTGGTAACCCCGAAAAGATCTTTTTAAATATTGCCTCCATGGGTTGAATATTGTAGATAGAACTACTCAGTGGTGAAATTCAAATTTTTTTACTATCGGTTCTGTGGGCATGGCTTTGTAGGTGTGGTGTGACTTGGTGGGGGTGGCTTGGTGGGCATGGCTGGGGAAGGATACTGCAAAATCTCCATTTCCACCCCACTCCATGGGAAGAATACTGCAAAATCCCCATTCCCATCCTACTCTGGGACCAGCCAGAGGTGGTATTTGCCGGTTCTCCAAACTACTCAAAATTTCCGCTACTGGTTCTCCAGAACCTGTCAGAACCTGCTTGATTTCACCCTTGGAACTACTCCAGTACTACCTCTCTGCTTTATTAAATGAAGCACCGGCATACAATTAAAGCAAATTACTTCTCATAATCTGTGTCTAGAAATACAGAAATAAAGGATAAGGCGAAGACACTTCAGTGGTGATGTTTAGCATAATTTTAATGTGAAAAACGACTCACTCCTGAGAACTAGGTCAAACACAATGGAGAAAGAAAGAGATCTGAAACTATGCCTTAAAAGGAAACAAGCTGCAGGATCCTTTTAAAAAATGATCTGGAAAATTGGAGTAGATATACATTTTAGACATGAGCCAATGTTTGGCATCAGTCAGAAAGAGCAGAAGGATTACTGTTTTGTGTCAGGGAGTGACCAGATTATACATCAAAAGGTGCGTTGACAACCAAAACAATGACAGATAAAACTTTTAATTTATTCCCCCATATTTGACACAGCAGAAGTAGACTTGCATGAGAAATAAAAAAGAGATTCATTACTGTATATGACAGGTAGGAAATTCGACAGAAACTTGTAGCAAGCCTGCCAGGAGTTATATGAGTTTAAGTTTATATTGGATTGTAGCTCCAAACCCCATATTTTTTATTTAAGGAATCACTGTTAAGTGTTTTTCTTATCATGCCACATCCCATTCCCTAAAGCAGAGGTCTTCAAACTTGGCAGCTTTAAGACTTGTGGACTTCAACTCCCAGAATTCTCCAGCCATCTGGCTGGAGAATTCTGGGAATTGAAGTCCACAAGTCTTAAAGCTGCCAAGTTTGAAGACCTCTGCCTTAAAGACTCATCTTGTAGTCCAAGTACATCAGCAAGACACAATTTACGTTTTCCATACAATTGTTCTGTAATTCTCTTCAGCATTCTCTGCAAGGAGCAGTGGGCTTTCAAAGAAGTTCAGAACTTTGCACAGTCATGGCATAATACTTCTAGCAGCACTGAGCAAATGAGGTTCTAATAAGCAAATCCTTCAAAACATAGAACAAGATCCTACAGTTTTTTTCTGGGACAGCACCCATGCATTCTAATCACTGTGCAACTAAGAGCTGTGATGGCCCAGTGGTTAGAGTGCAGTATTGCAGGCTAATTCTGCCGACTGCCAGCATTTCAATTCTCACAGGCTGAAGGTGACTACTTCAGCTTCAACCTCAACAATACATGGGCAAACAATAGATACCAACTCAAAGTAAACCACTCCAAACTTGACTGCAGAAAATACGACTTCAGCAACAGAGTGGTCAACGCCTGAAATGCTCTACCTGACTCCATTGTTACATGCTCTAACCCCCACAGCTTCAAACTAAACTGTCTACTGTGGACCTCACCCCATTCCTAAGAGGTCCATAAAGAGGGCGTGCATAAGTGCACTAGCATG